TTAGTGGCTTGAGCCACTGGATTCCACTCCTTGACTGGATACTTTTGCAAGGCAAGACTAGTACCAGTGTTAGCCTCAGGGCTATGTCACACTCCATAATGACACTGTGGGAAACTCATCCTGGCCTGGCTGGACAGAGCAAGGCACTGGGGAGACACTGAAGTATTTGAGGTGAAACCCATCAGCATCTCTTCCTATGTCTGCCAGAATAAACAAAGGGATAGATGTCAGTTATGTGACTTGTATGTAGGGCAAATATACACTTAATCTTCTAGTAAATCACCTTTTTTCACACAAAGATCATCAGTGATCCCTAGAAGAACAGCTGCTCAGACACATTGGGCCCTGGCCTCAGAAACCTCCCACACCAATGTCATGAGTAAAAAGCTATAAAAGAGTTGGTCTGCCAGATTGGAGGGTCAAATAGCAGCCTGGAAAGGCATGTAATAGGAAAGAGTGTAGCTACTGATATTCATTCCTCTTTCTTAATGGCCTTATGCAGACACAAATAGTTAGATTTTTTTAAAATTAAAAAGTAAAAAATAGGTCACCCTCACAAAAAATTAATAATTCCAATCACACTTCCATATTGCTGAAGTATGTGCTTCAGCTAAGAATTTGCACTGATAATAGTGTTAGCTTTCATTGAAGATGTCCAAAAAGCCAATCAATATCTAAGCAATGAGGAAGTTTTTAAGGGCTGGTTGGTCACCATGGGCAAGCACTCACAGAGTGTTTACCAGTTTGTCTGTCTCTGGTTTTGCCTTTATCATTAAAAGGGCAAAATAAAGACATAACACTTTAAATTGTATACACGGGTAGCTACAGTTTTTCTCCTACTGTATCTGTGCAAGTATCTCTTCAACTACTCTTTCTGAAGCTTACAAATTACTTTGGAACTGCAACCTACTTTACCCAGTTTTAATAAAGACACTTAGGAATACCGTTCTGCATGTCATTTTACTGTAGGATTAACATTAGCAGAGTGAACCAAAATAGTCAGTTTAAGTAGAAACTAGATATGTCAAGGGTTCACATCTACTTGAAGCACTTTGCTTGTTTCAATAAATCCATCAAGGATTTAAAGCAGGAACTTATCTCATAAGGCACCTTGCAGAAGAAACATGATAGCAAAGGTCAGAGCATTTCAAGTAGGAACAGGACCACTGTTGAAAGGTTCATGGACTTTCAGTTTATTAACTGATTTACCGCCTAGTATTCCTGGTCCAGATACAGTCATTAAAGCAAGAAGCTCCTTCTCAACTGACAGTATTTCTATGCCCTTCGCAGCATTTGAATGGGAATGAAAAAGTAATTTAGAGGTATTTTAAAGACTGGCTAAATGAACTCATGATTTTGAATGCCCCTCCTACATGTAATTTTTGTGGGAATGCAGAAGAAAGCAGTGGAACAGTAAATAAAGGAATACCAAGGATTACTTCCTTGAACAGAAGATGATGCCTAAGAACATAATTCTGTATAGTAATGCCAAGTAATAACATCCTAAGAAGTGTAGTTTGAAGGTGTGGTAAGATTTAGTTCTAGAGAATAATAAAATCTAATTGAAGGATAGGTTGGAACTGCTACAACAGAAGCTCAAACTGAAAAAAATCAAAGAACAACCAAGTCAGAAGGGCAGCTCTGAAATTAAAGGGAGCAAAGAACCAAATACTATTTAGCAACAGCACAGATGTTTAGAAAACATTGGGTACAAAGTCTGTTATTGCAATCATCTTAAAATCAGCTCAAGTGTCTCATACCCTCACTGTTGCCATGTCCTTTCTTCCAGCACCAGCAAACATAACCTTTCCACTGTCTGCTAACAAAATTTTCTTGTTCTGTCCTTTGGATTGTGTCAGCACCTCTATGAATCCTGGCTGTCTTTTTTTGTCACATTAAACACACATAATTCACTTTGACTTTCAAGGCCATTCACGGACTTCTGTCTCTTGACCTGTTATCTGAAACTGGGAATCCAAGTGCCAGCTCTAGTCTCTGACCAGCAAGTGTGCTCTTAGGCTTCTAAGCAAGCATTTTCAAGCAAGACAAAGTGATTAATGGCCCCAGTGATCTGAGAAAGAAGCATACCTGCTCCAGACTGAGGAGTTCTTTTATTCTTGGAAAAGGAGGGAAAGTGAGCTGTTTCCTCTGCTACTTTATTCTGGAAGACAGCTAGGTGTGGCAGGCAGCCAAACAAAAACAGGTTTGTTAAAAGCACACTAACTTCTCTAGAAGGATGCTTTTTCTCCTGAGTCTGAAATTAGCCATAGTTTCAGTCAAAATACTATCACACATTAACCAAAATCAGCAGCAGAATGTGTATTTATACAGCACATACGTTTTGTGTCTATATTGATACACACATATGTATACATATACACAGACAGACAGTAAGCTGTAAAAACACTGAGGCATAGGTCTGTTCAGTGGCAAAAAGGCTTTGAGGCAAGGGAACGAAACATTTTCCAAACCAAACCAAACTTGATGCATCCTGATGACCATGACAAGGGATTTGCTGTGTGTCCTTCCAGATGGGTGGTTTTCCCCAGCTGACAGACTGGAGTTCAGCTCCAGTGAGCTGCCACTGCTGCCACACAGCTGGGCAACAGGACAGAGCATCTGTCCCAATAATTGTTTGTGATCCCAGATCTGAAACTTGAGCAAAACAATTCTGAATTCTTCTCATGGTATTGACAGCTCTGCATATAGGTTGCAAAATACTGTCTTATTTATTATTTAAAAAAAAGTGTATTAAGATCTGTTCATTTTCCTATAATTATGCTAATGAAATAGACAATAGGCATAAATTTGGAAATAAATCAGATTTAATCAAGTTTCATCCTGTTCTAAAGGTTTGATGAGTAAATTCTTCAGAAATATCCAACATCTGAATTTTGACTCTTCTTCAACACTAAAACCTATGTATATTTTTATATAAAATTTTAGATTATTTATATCTACCTCCTCTTGCCCACCTCAGAGAGCTCCACAAAGTGAGACTGCAGGCTGATGGTCTCCTGCCCAGCTGCAGGCAGGTAACCCACAGATAACTTCTTGATCAGCATGTTTGGGCTAGAAAAAAGGCTCCCAATGAGAAACATAACAAAGTGGACTCCCCACACATTTACCAAGGTTATCTTTTAGTTTGATGAAGTTTAGAAGGGGAGATCCTATCTAAAGTTGACTGTGGAAGAGCATAATCATATCTTTGGTGCTACTGCAGCTGCCAATTCATTCCACGGCACTTTCTTGCTCATGCTCAATCAAGACTGTCAGTGACATGGATGCAGGTACAGCCATACCATAAAATGTTTCGAGTTTTGGGAAGACTTGCAGCACCACAGAGCATGGCAATGTCATTTCTAACCACTGCAGTAGATGAAAAGTGGCTTGGAGATGGGGCTGCAAATGAGCTGTGCAGTGTGGCTGCATGTCTCATTTTTGTTTCAGAGGGGCTGTTCCTAATTAGCACTGATGTCACCAAGTGTAGTGTAGGCATACATGGAAGCCAAATACAGTAGTAATTCATTGTGTTCTACCCCACCAAGATGAAAACTGTGTGTCTTTCCTTTTTACCAGGTAGTTCTGAAGCCAGTGCTCCCTATTCCTGCAGTGCAGAGTTAGACCATAGAGTGAGAATGTGCAGGTAAGAAGTGAGGTATGACGGATGTTACTACTACGTGATCTGAATTCAGAAATACAAGTGATTAATTTTTCTTGTACTTGGGGAAAGCTGCAAAGCAAGGGGTAACCTCTGCAGAATAACAAAGAACACAGCCAGAGAGAGCAGGAAATTGCATGATGTATGAGCACATTCTAAATGCTGACTCACAGCACCCTACATTTCTCCCTGCTGCCTTCAAAACTCTCCCTAAACACCTCATATATTCAGCTTACAGTGTGATTCACAAGGTCCCTGAAGCACCCCACCACCATTCTTAAGCTTTTTATTTTCCTTCTACTCCTACTCTTTCCATTTTCCCCCTGATGCCTGATGTACCATTGTTTTCTAGATCTGTCATCATTACTTCCAGCAGTCCCTGAACATAGGGACAGGGTCTGTAAAACAACTGCCAAAATCCTTTTTCACACACTTCCTCCTATCTGCAGCTCTCCTGGGCCGAATTTAGTCTTATTTTTTACTAATTTTGAATACAGATAAAATGAAAACAACTGCATGGAAGAGTTAAATGACACTTTTGAGAGATTACTTCAACTTTTAAGTTTCCAAATTAATAAACAGGGCTCTGGAGGATGAGGTTTACCTCACCTGCATTTATAGCACCCAGACAGCTCCTTTGCAAAGCATGACTGGGAAACCACCATATCATTAAAACCCCCTAAGATTACATGTTCCAGATTTGCAATACCATGAATTGCAGGGAAAAAAAAGCGCCTGCTCTAGGATATGCAACTCAGTTTAATACAGCACTCTGTAAAACAACTTACCTTGTAACTAACAACAAATGAAGCATTTTGGAAAATCAATTTTTGCTTCAATTTTCCTTTTTGTAATGAAGGAACATTACCCCTCTCCCATCAGCAAGCTCAGCAACGTCCTCCTGCCCCTTAACATGGCAGCCAAGAATCCAGGCACTGCCAGAGCAGCACCTCCTTTGTATTTCCTGAGCTCAATGGTAAATTACCTTTCGGTTTAGTGAGTTTGGATAAAGACTGAACTTTTCCACTCTGCAATCAACTTGTGAAGTTGATTCATATGATGTTTCAAGAAAGTCCTTGTCAGAATAGAGATGATCCCACTAAAAGAATGGATATGAACATCTCAAGGATGTGGCTATTTAGGTGTCATGTGAAATCAGTACTCATGTAGTTCAAATATCTGAAAAAGATACTACGCATCATCAGTTTCTATAAAGATATAACACAGAGGACATTGACAGGTCTTTCTTTAAAATTCTGTTACTTTTACATGTTTCTAAATAGTAAAAAAACTACAGAACAAAAAATATTAAGTAAATGTGTTTATTATTATTGGATTTTTTAATGCAGAAATAGTGTTATTTCAATTAGAGGCTTACAACCCTGTTTCATTGTTCTTTGTGCCAAAACAAGAGACAAGAACACATTGGTCAATTGCATTTTGATTAAGAGTCCAACTGTGGTTTCAGATGTTTATGCACAAACTTCATTGACAGCAGGATTGATTACATTTGTACATGAAATGAGAATTTGTCTCAAAAATAATTAAAAAGACTAAGGACTCTTCTTATTTTAACACCCTTTTTACACAGAAAAGCCATTTGCATACATGAATAAAATATATACGAAGGATACAAAGACCAACTTCACAAAATTTATGTCACCTTGACTGCTACAATATTAAAATGGAAATTAGTCTTTTAATAAAGAGAACCAGTTGTGACACAAAAAGAAATAGCTCTTCCCCCTTCCCATAGTTTTAACTACATATAACTCGGTGAATACAATTTTCAGAACAGACCTCTCTTTCACCTGTCCATTGTTTTAAGAAAGTAAAAGTTTAGCCCTTTATCAGTGATTGTAACACAATTTCCTATCCTTTCATATTTTACGTACCAAAGACCAAAAGAGTTTATAATTTTCAAGAATGCCTTGTGGATTAACTGGTGCAGCTCAGAGCTGGATATGGGTAATTCTGAAAATATCTACTGAAAAATATGTCTTTAATGGTGAAAACAATTACTTCTCTTAACTGAAACCTCTTTAGCATGCAATCAAACAAGCATCAAGGGACATGTGCACAATAGGAAATTGCCTTGTAATTATTAGTAGCATCTTCCTTCTTCCTTTGAACTATTAACAAAAGCTAATGTTAAAGCAGCTATGAAGAACCAAATAGATTCTCTACTTCCATTTTAACAGTAGGATTTACCTAAATAACAGTAATCCTCAGAAAGTGAAATTCTCATTCCACAACTCAAGTTTCAGCCTCCAGACCTACAGCTGGAGATCTGTGTAAATGCAGCAAAGGACGCAAAACAAAACCACCTCTTATTTCTAGAGGTTGCCTCTCTCAGAGCCACCCAACAGGAGCCAGGTCCTAGAGGAACGACGCGCTCACCATCCTGAAATACCGCGGCTGAGTCGGGCGCCAGTTATCAACCAAGGGGTGATCGGGTTCGTTCTCGGCATTCTTGGAGAGACTGCGGAGCTTTGCCATCTGCAGAAGAGCAAAAACTGAAGTGTCTTGATGGAAATCCTTTGGGATTGAATCCACAGCCCAACAACTAAACTAAGGAGGCTGGTTCAGCTGGGGAAACAAGCTCCTTCAAAGTTGTGAAGATGTCCTTCACCCCACCACCACAAGAACTGTTCTCTGTTCTTTTCCTAGCAGTGATATTCTTATGAATAATCAAAATAGAAAAATGGGTCCTAGTTGAACAGCATTGTGAAAAATAGTGTCATTTAGATCCTGTCTACAGAACTGTGTACAGACACAGAAACTGTGGGAAGCACTCAGAAAATGTGAATACAGCAGCACATGCTGTTAATCAACCTCTCCTACTCTAACCCTGCCTTAGTGCCTGATTGTTAAGAATCCTTTAGAATGACAATGTTTTAAAGCTGAAATATAAACTAATCGTTCATTTCCATGGGAGGTCTGCAGCAGAGGATATATTTTGCTGCAGTGACACAAGAAGTTCATTATTGGTAACAGGAATTGGAAATTAAATCTGGATAAAGACTTGGTCAAGGTTTCAAATGGTTTGTAAACAAGGTCTACAGCTTGACTCTCCTTGGCCATACCAAGGTATGTTTCCTTTTTGGAGGCATGCCCTATGAAGAGTTCTGCCCATACTCATCAAAACTGTTTAATACTCTTTCTCTACTGCTTTCTAGTTTTCCAAGGATGCAACATGTATACAGACACCCTATATTCATTTATCACCACTATGCACTGCACTAGACCGAAAGCACATCAGCTGTGATTCAGACACTTGAACCTGTCCTTGTTTGAATGACTTACCATGAAAAGCACACACACATTTCCCATGTGTAACTTGAAAACGTCGCCCCACGCAGGGCACGCATCACCTTTGTTCGACAGGAGCTCCCATACACTGACATATCTACTTTTCAGTACAGACTTCAAGGCCAATACAAGCAGAACTTCCGCCTAGGTTGTAAAACCTCGGTTCACTGTGATTAATCTTGTTCCAGTTTATGGACTGAGCTAGCTTGGGCATCTCAACATTACTCTTCACTGAACAGTTCAGAAAAGCCAGCCATCCTAGTCAGCCTGAACAACGATGAGATCACATTTACAACCAGCATAACATGCATCTGATGGATTAATATTCTGAAATTAAATTTCAGATTTCAGATGAAGAATAATTTGTACAGGAAGATATGAAAACTATTCATCAGTTTTGTTAAAACTGATAAATTACTATTGGAGAAGAGTGCTGGAGTTTATTATTTGTGGAAGATCTGCTCTACTCAGTAAAAAACCAACATGTGTTCAGGCTATGATTACATAAAGATGAAAAAATTAGTCTGCAATTAGACAGAGTTATTCCACAGCTAAATTCCTGTTCTTTCATTAAAAGTAATCTGAGCAGCTAGGCCACCCACACTATATCTCCCTGGGATTTCTAGTGAATTGATTTTCCTGCATTGCACTGATTTGCAGCGACTGCACTTCCCCTTGTGGCTAATATATGGTTACCATCTGGCTGCAAAAGCATCCAAGAAATCCACTGCAAATGCACACACACTTAAAATAATCACTATTAATGAGGCTGCCATGGTACTACACTGTCTAGGATTAGAAATAATTGGCAACACAATCCTCTTATGAATACATTATTTAGAGTGCAGGCACTCTGGAGTGAGGGAAGTATTTCTATTGTATTTCTAGATAATAACACACACACACTGCCAATTCTGCCTGAAAAGCAGCTACCTCAGGGTAAGAGCCAATGTCTCGTCTCTGTAGTAATTTCATCTTTAACTTAAATGCTCCATTTTTTCTACAGGAGGAATAGTTAAAGAACAGTCTGTATGTTTCCCAAAACTCACTAATTTTAGAACAACTGAGAAAAAGATCATGACCCAAACACAACTGTAGTCAAAAAGTCTTTTCATGAAGCTGGATTAATAATGTGATTAGTTATTTCTTTAAAAATGCATTTTAAATCAGAGATGCTCAATAATGACTACACTTTTCCTAATACAATCTGTAGCTGATCTTCTGTAATATAAACATCTAAGATCATTCATTTTGTGGAAACCAGTCAGACCATATTTGTATTTTTCACAGAAGTACCCACTTTAAAATAGCCTCCATATCTTAGCTTTTGGATGGACAAGGAAACAGAAGGCGGAGCAATTCAATGAGCTCTGAAAATTAAGCTTTAAGTTATATGAACACATGACCATATTTCCTCTATTGCCAGCTAAGTTTCTCATCGTACCTGAGTTGTATTGCTTAAAAGATAAAGAGCCACTTAAATACAAAGTACTAGAAAATAAAAAAATTTCCTTTTTGTGGTAACATACACATCAATGAATACAGTAAACACAGTATCATCTTGAAAACTTAAAATGAGAAGTTATGTGTCTAATTATAATACTCATATGATATATATGTCCCTTGATTAATAGTCATGCGCTTTGTATCCTGGAGCCTTGAAATTTGTGGTATTGCATCATTATAGTCTGCTGACTAGAGGAATAACTCCAGGTCAGAAAACTGACTTGTGTGGTAAGAGTAGAATTATAGGCTGAAATGTGCTGAAAGAGGGCATTCAAATTCCTGAGAGTGGATTGGGGGGTAAATTAGGAGAGGAATTAACAAGAAATACTTCTTTACAGTAAGTGACCAAAGAAGTTTTTGATATTAACAATACATTATAGTTAACTGATGTTGCTCCAGTTTGTGAAAATTTAGCTGGTGCATACTTCCAGCTTCCAGAAACAGATATCAAGCATGTAATTCAACACTTCCAACTTGCACTCCCATCTGCAGTTCAGGGCAGGCAGAGTCATCAATCCCATTGTATTTCTATTCTGATAAATGACGTTTTTGAAAGAAAACTCTGACTATCTACACTGCTGTATGTTTTTACTGATTTAAAAAGCTCTCTGATATCTGTGCGCTGAACTACCATGGTGTTGGATGTGGGGTAGTTCTTCACTCCTCTTTTAATCCTGTAATTTCTCACAAATCCAATGACTGTTTTCCATGTCGAAAGAATAAATTCAGGTCATTGCATGTAAAAAAAATGAAGGGCGGAGTTTACCTGGTCTGAACTGACTATGATGGGCTCTCTAAGAATAATCCAGGTAACACACTCTTCGCAAGGTGGAGTAGTGACAGATCCATGGTATGTCCAGTAGTCATGGGATTTAGGGAAAAGAATTGAAGGATCGAAGTTTGGAAAAGGAGCATTTTTCCCCTTTAAAACAAAAACACAACAAAACAAAACAGAAAACTCTTCAACAAATGTAGTCCAGATTAGTTTGCAGCTCTGTTATTTTAAGAAACAGGGAGTGACTCAGATACTGCACATGAGGAAAGTAAGCACAGATCTACAGGAAATATAATGATGCAGTGAGACATGGGGACTGAATGACCCTCACAGATGGGCCCAGAGAAGCATGACAAAACAGAAAACTCCATGATGCTGCTTCTTGTACCTCAGCTAACTCATGTGAAGCGACGTCCAGTACCAATGTGTTTCACTCATTTCTGTGCAGAAATACTCCTCCTTCTGGCCTCCTTTCTTATGGAAATTCTTTCTATCTATTGAGTATTTCGTTAGGTCACCATATAACAAAGTGAGACAGGTACTACTTTTATAATATTTGTACCAATAACAAGCAAGACAGCCTATGAAATTTATCACATAATGTTATCTAAGACACAAATGTCTAGTCAGTGGTATTTCCAGAGATCCATTAGGCAGCATATTAAGAGCAAATGGACCAATTTATAAATATGCCTTTTATTTGGCACTGCCACTGAGGCAATAAGGTTCCATGCCTATTTTTTAGGTGATCAAAGACTGGGTAAATTGCTCATTTTTGCCAAACTCATATGTCCTGCTGAAGTCAAAGAAGGCTCATACGTAAATGGAAGAAAGGACTTTTCATGCTAAGGAAAAGCTACCCACGGTTTTATTCCCAAATATATTCTAGAAATGTTGCAGAGCAGAATCTGGAAACTAGGAAGTCAGATTTTTTTTTTTTTTTTTTTTTTTTAGTCCTGAGACTTTGAGCAATCTTCCTATACAGAAAAGCTTAACATCATTACCTTTGTTTTGATAGCATTTATTTCTTCAAGAATTCTCTTCATCTCTGGTTTCGGAGTTTCCCCAACCTGTAAAGAACAAAGTGTAAGCTAAGCAAGGAGTTCTGTTTGACCAGGTTTCTTTTTTCTCCTATTTTTCTATATGAGCATCTATCAACTGTAAAACTATGAGCATCTATCTAAACATCTATCAACTATAAAATTATAATGCATTAACTCAATCTATCACCCCCACCACCTTGGTAAGCTATGTCTTCTGTCTGTTACCTCTGCCTGTACCCTAACAGATATTATGATACAAAGTGGGACATTTAATCAGTACAGAAATTTTAGCATAACAGGTAATTTCACGACACAGATTTCATGGTAGACATATTGCTTGCAATTTCTGATCAAAAAAAAAGACATCCAGATTTCTATCTCTAGTTCTGTATCTAGTGAATATTAATTAAACAACAGAGAGCAACAGCTAATATTTCAGGCTGCAGGCCCCTAAAAGGATTTTCAAAAAACGACGAGTAATATGTATTGCCTGTGAGATAGTTTTGTTTGAGAGAAAGTTCATGAAAAACCTAGAAGAGATGCATGTCCTTGAAATCTGTCCTCAGTTAGCAGAAGACAGCTGACTGCTGTTGGTCAGAGGTCCACTTCTGACACATGTCCCCATTCCATGAGCCACATAGTGACACAATAGCTGCAGGGACAAGTGTGTGTAGTTTTGGATACCACTTGAGGTAATGTGACTCATGCTCTGTAACTTGAAAGGGATACATTACTGAAAGTCAACCCCTTCAATGTGGCAGGATCCCTAGAAAATATACCCACCAGAGTTCTGCTTTTGTCTAACCTTCTAAGAATAGAAACTTCATAGTGTCAATGCAAAGAAGGGTTGCATGCTTCTACTTACTTGCAAAAATATGGCCAAAACAGCAATCCCATCAGTTCTTCTCTTAGCATCAAGGTAATTACTGTATTTGGGATTCCAGTGTAACAAATGTAGCTTGAAACAAAGAAAAACACATTAAAAAACCCCCGTTATTCAACAGCAAGCCATTAGAAGGCTGAACTTAAAGTTCTTCACATAACTGTGTGAGTTTGAGGCAACAAGGAATGATACTGAGGCCTTCCAAAAAAGGGAGAAGAAAAAGGGACAGCAAAGTCATCTGTTACTTATATCTAATAGCATAATTATACTATTTAATAGCATATTTATACTATTAGCATATTTATACTAATAGCATATTTATACTATTTTTAAAATAAACTATAAATACATGAATAAGAAATTGAAAAAAAATAACTGTAATCTCATGTTAAAGCTGACGAAAAGTTGCTGATGTAATCAGGTAGACCATGCAGTTCAGACATCATCTACTACTATGTGACTCATCTCCATCTGGCATTCGAATTACAGCAATTCTACCAAAGAATCCACATGAATGTCATTCATGTATATTATTACTCTGCATTTCTCATTTTCTTTACAATCCTAAGGTGCTAAAGGACCAAGGTAATTCATTCTTCCCACTCCTTTCTATAACTGCAATTTTATACTTCTACTATAATTCTCTATTTTCAGAATACTGTTTTAGTAAGTTTGGATTGCATCTGAGTAATTCAGTCTTGCTGTGCTGTTTCACACCATACTGGTTTGAGAAAATGGAAACCTTTGTTTCACACAGAATTTTTCTCTTCTCTTGCTGTAAGAATGACTTCAACCTGATTTATGTTTATAAGAATCAATGGGAGTAAGAATAAAAAGGCACAGATAAATAAACAGAAAGAATTCCCAGAAAAACAGAGAAATGACAAATTTTGTCCCACCAGAACAATAGTGTCAAATTTTATTTAACACCCTGTTTTAAAGCAAGAAGTGGTGAGTCTTACCTCTCCTGCATACCTCACTCCATTCACAACATGCTCCGAGCCGTGGTCGTCAGACGAGCCCCAGTGGAAGTGCAGCTGCCGCAGCCTGTAGACTCCTGGAAGTGGCCCACCTCTCAGCACTGCAATTGATAATCTGCAACAGCATCAGACTCAAGGATCTCCCAATTCTTTTAAACAAAATACGTATGTATCTGCAATATTTACTCATGTATTTACATATTTGCTGTACAGATGCCCTATGTTCTGAAAATCTACACTGATTTTACCACACATCAGGCAACCACTTTCAGCCATACACACCTACAGGCAGAGGAGAACTTTTGTGTCTAGGCTTCCATTACAGTCACTAGAGATCACTGATTTAATTCAGCTGCATGAATGTGCACCTAATACTTTCTGGAGTAGTCCAGAGACATCTGGACAGGACTGAGAGATCTGGTCCAGGATCTGTGGAAGAACTGTACATTCTAAACCAATACCTGGAGGCAAGGAGAAATAGATTAGGTTATCAAACACGTCACAGGATGCTTGTGTTTGGGTAACCTAAGTAACCCCTAATCAGAACAGTCAGACCTCTAGAGTAATTCTTCTTGCCTTAGACACTCAACAGACAGTGACCTGAATTGCTCTCTGGATTTCTTGAACTCCAACTCTGTTGCCTCAAATGGCAGTTTAGATATAACCCACCAACTTTTAAAATCCCACAATAAGACACCTAAATATAGAGGTCTTAATCTCCCCCTGAATTAAATCTAGGATTTGCTGATGTGAAAGTACACAAATATAAACACAAGATCAACTACTGAAGTGCCAGATGATAAACAAATTCCCAGAAAACACTACAAAATTTTGTATTTTACTGCAGGCTATGACTTATTTGTTTAAAGAGTTACGAAATCACTGATGCTGCTTCTGCTCTAATAGCTGCGCCCTCCAGTTATGGAAGAGCAGAAAGAATACAGAAAATAAACCAGAAAAGCAAACACTGAGAATGCAAGCTATTTTCCTAAAGAAAAGTCCAGCCAGTGATGAATGATAGCTAGTTTTCTAAATAATGTTACAATTTATAAATAATATTGTAAATGAAGGTGGTCTATTTGAAAGAACCAATGAAATAGAAAAACGTATTTACATTCACCAAATACTAGAAGGTACTCAATTCTCATTCACTTTTTTTGAGAACAGAAGTTATAGCATTCCTATGATTTTCAGCAGTTTTTAAGAACTGGTCTTTATATGCCAGAGAAAAATATCCTTCAATCTGAAAATAATTAAATCCATGATCATCTCAAGAAATACAGCACTAAGAGCTGAGCAAGCTGTTTTTCTCAACAAATTCCTTTTACTTCTTCCCACAGACATTCACAACTGTGGTCAGAGTAAGAGTAGTAGCTGACAAAGCCATCAATTCTTCATTAAAATAGATCTGTAAGGCCAAGTAATCCTCTAAGGTAAAAGTATGTAATTATTTCCACTGATGGGCCATCAGCAGACATTTTTGATTGGGCATTAGGTGAAGCTCTGCACCATCTCATGCCAACACATTCCAGTTTTACTCATCTATAAATAGGCAGTAACATTACCTAGCACACTTTAAGCAGAAAGAATGATGCAAACAACAGCTCCTGAAGGACAAAAAGGTATTTCCTTTTCTTTTAATTACAAGTGTGTAGTATTAAACATATAAATACAGAAAATAACAATGTAAGTAAATGAAACCTTCCTGCATTTTAAAAATGGAAAAATAAACAAAACCATTACAATAATTAAGTCCTCCAATATTTAAAACATTAAAAATCCCAAAAACTATGTCTGCATAGCTCAAAGTTAGTAAGGTTTTTTTATTTATTAAGCATGTGCTTTGCAACTTAAATTCTAAACATATCTTTATCCTCTTGGGCTTCAATCCTGTGCAAATAAAAATTCACAACCACAGAACAAAAAGAATATTAAATAAAAGTTTATAAAAGAAGAGATGGCATCTTGACATAATTTTTCAGCAATGTTAGTATATATTATTTACATGTAACAGGGAATTTTTTCTGACTATTATTACAAAAAAAATGTTCACCTTAAGTATCTGAGAGTCATGTCAGAATTACCAAGATGAACCTCCCTTAAACTTGCTGCCATTAAAGTAACATGGCCCAGGTGCAGGAATGCACAAACCAGCTCAGGAAGACAGGGGAGAGGCACCTTTTTGGTGCCTTATTGTTGCAAACTCTCATCCCATTGCTCAGTGACTGACTCTAAATGGATGTGTTTGCACATCACCCTCAGTGACCCATCAGTGCCCGATACCAGACATAAAAATGTCAGTCTGTCTTGCCCAAATTCTGTGCCCCCCACACATCCACAGCGAAGAATGATCTATCATGGAACAATCCTACATAGACACACACATGGACATCTGCTCTGGAAAAAAGCTCACCTTTTATTTGATCTGTCATCAGCTGAGCAGCATGAGACAAAATGGGCTAATAAAAGAACAGGCTTTTTTTCACTTTCAGTGCAATCACTAGGGCAAGTGTTGCACAGAAAGATGTAACTAAGGCAAGAAAACCCTGTCTCTCACTCTGTGACACAGCAAAATGAAGGTGTCATGCAGCTGAGTGGAGATGGCTGCTCCAGTCACTTTACTTTAGCTAGCTGGGTGCCCTTGACAACAGGAAAGTGACAAGAAGCTTTTCAAATATGTGCATCCACTTGCTGAGCAGCTTCTGTAGGGGTCTGGTTGTTAATCTGTGCTAGTGTCAATTGTCATTTGCCCTCACTGAAAGTAAAACTGGCAAAGTTATGCCTACACAAACGTCTTCCCTGCTTGCTGTAAAGGTAGGTGAAAAAACCCACAGAGAACAAAGCAGACTCATGAGACCAGTTGTGTTTATAAACATGGCAAGGAACGACTGTTCTAGGAAGATTTATGATCTTGCATCCTGCCAAATCCATAAAATGAACTGGTAAACCCCAACGAAATTAAATTAGTAATGTACTACTGTATGACAATTGAAAAGACACATTACCTTTGTTATGCTGCTTCATAGTAGAAACTAAGAGTGCAGTACAGAAACCACAGCTGTTTCACATCAGTGTCACATTTTAAAAGTCATAAAAAAGCCTCTGCTCAGGAGAGGATCTCTGTACTGAAACCATCCAGCTAACTGCAGGCATAAAATGTGTTTCCTAAAAGCTTTTGGAAGTCATATTTCAGTTCTCAATGAAATATTCTTTAAGCAAGCACTGAATAGATATGCAGCAGGATTATGCTTGTTGGTACTCTTTTAGGGACAGACAGGGAAATAGAAGTGTCAGACAGAAGTCTGTCAGCCTGCCACCCACCCTCACCTACACTGTGACACATCTTTGCCAGTTTTGTGCCCCAAGATCACAGCCTGTTCATCAGTCAGCTCCCAAATCATCCTCGTTTGTCATCTGCGTGGCTGCCCCACCTCCAGGGGCAGAAAAATGACAGTCCTCTGTGTAGCTGTAGCCTCAGCAGGCCCTTGACTAGAATTAAGTCAAGCACTTTTAATTCTAACAATGGAAATTCCAAGTTAACAGAAGCTCAAATCCTAAATTCCTGTACCCAAGTACAGGAGTTCTCAATACCTTAATGCAGACATGACAAATGACAGATGTGTTGTTATACTGAAGGAAGAATTTTAACTTTGCTGCCTTTTGCCTAATGCAGTACAGCCATTGAGTGGTACTACGACTACAGAAGTAGTGATGCTATCTTTGCAACAGCTACTGATTTTTTCCAGTGTAAAATCAGCAGACAAAATGTTAAGTAACATTTTGCAGGAATCAACTAAAATTGGAGTGTCTATGGACAGACTTCTCCCTGGTTTAAAGTTACCGGGGTTTTTCCTCACTCTGTAATAACCAGTGAAAAAATTAATGTTTTATTTACCAGAAGTTGATAACCAAAATTTCATTTGCAAAAATAAATGAGATTTCCCACAAAGGGGTATTTAAGGAAATGCTGGCCACAAGCCCTAATCATGCTAAAAGAGCTGATTAGCAACAAGCTCCGACTTCTTACAGTAACTGTCTCTATTTTTTTTTTTTTTTTTTGTTGCATCATCCACTTTCAAAGCCACACATTTCTTTGATAGGAAAGATTCTGAAAACAGCATCAAGGTAAGCCTGTAAGAATGTGTGCCTGCACTGAGGTACTCAAACACTTCAATGTCACCCATCTGTAAGCCAGTAAAAGAAGAAGTAGGAATCTGTTTGGTTGATGAACATCCATAGGAAGTTCCAACAAAAACAACAAACAAAGAGGGAAGATGAAGGAGGTATCCATGTGACCTTAATGTATCTCTATCCAGCTGCTCTGTCTGGGTTCCATCACCAGACTTCTGTATTTTACTGTTTCTCAAACAATCAAAGACTCTGGTGTAACCATCTAACCAAGGTATTACAACAATAGCCAAAGAATCATTAACTGTAAGGAAGTTATATATCCCAAAGAGCATCATGACAATAGTCCCACCAGCCAGAAGCTCTCAGGACACTTCTCTGATATGAATATTTTATGAATTTTAGAAATAAATGGATTCTGATAGTGGAAATAAGATGCCAGCCCTAATTCAAACCAAAAATGGGTCACTGCCGGGTCTAAAAGAGTATCTGCACTGCCAATCAGGCCAAAGAACCATAGCAGTGTTAGGCTGCCAAAGTACCCAAGTTCTGGTGTGTTTTACTGAGCCCAGCTACCTAGAAGGTTTGATTTCAGCTCCCAGTTCTTTCTTTAATTTTCAGACTCTAGCCCCCACCTGCAATCATTTTACAGTGCATAAGGTTCATCTACATGGATACAGTAAGACAGAAAACTGAATCCACAAGAATCCATTAACTTGTATGCATAGGCAGCAGAGGCACGATACTGCTCCGACAGCAACTTCATCTGTCAGCAAAGTCAGCAAAGGTTCCCATTTTGTAGCAGATTCTCAAAGTCAATCAGACTTTATAAACAGCTGGAAAGAAATTCTCCAATTCCTTCCACTAGGCTAACCCTAAAGATAAAAGTAATAAGGCCTTTTTCAACATAATACCTGAATTACATTGGATGACACTCTAATTGTTTGAATTTAAGAAACTGTCCTCAGTTGTGAATTCTCCAAGTGTTCTTGGCAGGATACACAATGGATGTAAAACTTGGAGACATCCAAAGTAATTGATTTTATTACTCACCTTGGCAATTTATTCAGCAATCTATTTTATCCAAACTAATGAAAATGTAGACAGAAGTACAGATATGGGTATGACCACTATAACTGAAAAAAGTCAGGAAAATAAATGTTTAGTTTTCTGGTTAACTCACAAATAATTCAGATAGACAGAGTGATAGAGACATACACAGACATAGAGAGAATGAGTACCTTTGTCCAAAGGAATAAAAGCTTAATTCCTACATGATTGCTATTGCATATGTATGTTTTGTGCAGCTGGTGGTTCTTTTACATAAAAAATAAGCCATTGTACATATCCTAAAAAACTTAAAATGTGTTCAAGTCAGTAGGAGTATGCACAGTGGAATTCGTCCTGCAATTAGCATTATATCAGAGAAAGAACACCACCCACAGACTCTGCAGGCAATGGTATAACAAAGGAGACATAACAACAAACACTGAATGTTTCTTGACTTCAAAGAGTTGAGATATACACCTACTTTTTTTGCAGTGAGTCACTTTTTATTTCTGAGATCAAAACACAACAGTTACTGAGCAGTTCATCTGAAAAAAATTCAGAACATTCTGAAACTTTCTGCTCTTTGTGGTGATTGTTGCATCCATGCTGTAGATTGCTGTGCCTGGATACTCCCTCCCATTCAAAATCTGAGTTATTTTCACAATACTTACACTTTTATTTTTATGCAGAAGATGCAACCATTGCTATATCTGATGTTGTTCTAACAAATAACAACAGATGGTAAAAAATGGTAATAGTCATGGAGACCTCATATGTAGCCACAGCTACATTTCTTTCCTTGTGTGTCATTTTATCTGACATTAATAATATTTTTCTTCAAATAACATTGAAAATTTCCACTTTTCTAGAAAAGTTACAGTTTTGAGTTTTGATAGTATATTAACTAGTCCAGTGTACATACATTTTGATCCTCAGTTTCATGAAACACAAACAATTAGTTAAAAATCCATTAAATTAAATCAAATCTATGTCCATATATACTTCATATGAAACAATCTATTAGTAAGATTTCTCATAGTAATTAGAGCTGTCAGTCCCAGTCATATAGAAAGTGTAAGTTTTAATGCAGGTAAGAAATAAGTCTGTACACTCTATGCTGTCATAACTGCAAGTGAATAAAAGGTGACACAATTAAATTTATCAGCCCTATAATCTTCATTAAGTCAAAACCTCATTAATGTCAAAAAGTCGATTAAATACTATGACATTGTGGCAACATCTGGCTTGTTACTTCATTTATCACAAATTACATGGACAGAGTTTTTGAATATTGTAATTTAAGATGTTCTGCAGGGCATCTCAAATAGGTAAAACAGAATTCAGTTCTCACAGATAAAGCCTGGGCCTCCTTCATCCTGAACAGCAACACAACTGCAATGACTTTTTGCAGCCCCATAAATTTATCTTACACCTTAATTCACCCTGTAGGAAGTTTCTTTGCGGCTCTCTCCATTCCCTGGGATTTTACCAATGAACTTTAAAAGGAGTCCCAGACTTTACCAGCAGCAGCACAGGGTACCCAGTCAGAGAAAACTGTACATCACACACAGGCAGTACACAGCATTCAGAGCAGGCTCTTCCATGCAAATTGAGAAACAGTCACTTACATATAATGACAATTAGAGATGAAAACAAAACCGACCTGATCTATCGAATGAATCATCAAATACAACTCTGCAGGTTTTCCCATTATTGAGGATGGTCTTAGCTGCACCAGGATCATAACTAGCAAACCATGGTAGTAGAGAACTGTCATAATGCACCTCTTTGTTATTGATTTCAATCGGTGACTGATGGCGTCCTTTCGCAAAAGGGTAATTTTTGTGCCACTGATCTGGTCCTACAAAAAAGTACAGAGAAGTATCAGGAAAATCATTTCCAGAGAGATACGAATTATACTTGTTACAATTAACACAAGCTTGGCTTTGCTGAAGTATAGAGCATCATTTAAGTGCATTAATTGCCCAGTTGTAATTCATGCTCTGAAACTCTTGAAACTCTGTCAAGAGTTTCACTGTATAAAAAGTAAACAGATTGATTTCTAGCTGGAATACTGGATATTTTAAGTCCTTCAACTGAACATAAATTCTTACAGTAACCTCAAGACTGACTACTAGAAGAGTGATAATATGCCAAGGAAGAAAACCAGAGGTGTATACTCCAAGTCCAGCAGTGGCTAGTATGATGGGATATACCCAAATGATTGAAATATGGCACCAAGTAATCACATGGAATGAGAAAAGGCCACTGATTCCTGGACATGCCAAGAAGTTGAAATGTGGATTTAATTATCATCATGGTTTCACCAAGAAGTTCAGGTGGAAAAAGCCTGACCAATGCTGAACTGTTCTTCCTGCAGCAGAGGAGAGAACAGGAACACTAGACCACCAACAACCCAACCTCTCCAGGCAGGCGGGGTCTGCACTGCTCTTCCTGCATTAGACCTGGCTTAAATTGGACATATTGCTATGTCCAATTTTAATTTACATTAACAGTAGGAAAACTGACTTTATTTAAGTCAAAGACCCCCTGCCATTGACCTCTCCTTCTGCCGCCTTCGCCTCTTTCGTGCCTGCGAGCGACAAGCGAGCGGCCTCGGCCCGGCCACCTGCAGAGCCCCGGGCCCGTGTCCCCGCCAAGCTCCCTCGGGAAGCGGGGCCCCGTTTCGCCCGGGTTTCGGTGCCGGGAGGAGCGGGCCGGGCGCGGCCCCCTGCTCACCGTTGTCGCTGTCGTAGCCCCAGGGGTAGTAGTTGGGGTTGATCATGGTGCGGTGCCGGCGCCGCGCCCCAGCCTCCGCCGGCGGCTCTGGCAGGACGGGGGCCTCGCCTCACGGAGGCTTTTTATAGACTCCCGCCAAATCCATGCCCGTCCCCGCCGCCCGAGGGCCGGGAGGGCCCCGGGAGCCGGGGGCGGGGAGAGCAGCGCTGCCTCGGACCGCCCGCCCCGCGGCCGCTGTCCCCCGGGAATGCGGGGGAAGGAGCCGGCGGGACAGTGCCGGGAATGCCCAGCGAGGGAAAGGGGCTGCCACCGCCTGCCTCGGCGCCGAGGAGCTGGAAATATAGAAAAGCACGAATGTCCATCACTAGGCACAGGCAGTGTAGGAATAGTTTTCAAATTCAAGTAACATAGGTGCGCATCCATGCGCGGACGCGCAGCCAGATCAGCCAGGGAGCTTTAGCCGGGCTGGCTGCTGGATGAATGTGCAGGTTCGGGCAGGCTGGCGGGGCTTTTTATGGCTGTTTGTAGAAAGCCTCTTTTGGCGTGAGGCCTGTCCGGTTCGGAGGGGCTGGGTGTCTCCCCAGACGGCGCTGGAGCCGTGTTTCCCTCCTGGGTGTGTGGCACAGCCCTGATCCAGGAGCCAGCAGGGGGTGAGAGGATGAGTCCAACAGCGTTTGTGCAAATGGCTATCACAGGTTCACACCCTTCCCTAGGAAATTCCCGTGTATTCGCCTGGGTTCCAGCGCTGCTCCCTGCTGTGCGGTCTCCCGTTGCCTTCGTAAACAGCTTCCCTGCAAAAATTCGGTGGCATTAATTGCTCCAGCTTTTAAAAAGGTGCTGCTTCCTCTACTGCAGTGTTTCTTGGTGAATGGAAATCATTAAGCTAGCTGAAGATCCAGTTCCCGCCAGCTCCAGATAAAATCGTTATTATCAAATTAAGCACAGGATTTGTTTGTTTTGCTTCAGCTTTAATTCTGCTTTCATTTAGCAGGGTGTTATGCATCAGATTGCACTTAAAATTGTAAGCATACTTGCTAGCAGGCATGTGTTCCTTATGTGACACACAGAAATCAAATGACTTCTAAAAATATTTGTTATTCTGACACACAGAGAATTGCCAGATGAGATAAAAGACAGAGGTTAGCACCAATGGTGTAAAATGAATGAGGGGCTGACTAAGTAGAAGACAAAACACTAGATTGAAAGAGGAATTACTGTGATTTAAATTTTGGAAGACTTTGTGTATAAGAAGGATTGAGCTTATTTTACTTGCTAGTAATGAACTGAGGTAAAAAAGTACAAGTTGGTTGAAGAAAAATGCAAATGGCAGTGGATGGAAGAGTCATAGTGCAGAAAAATTCAGTATCCCTGAATGCTGTGTAAACTACAGTGGGTGATACTTAGTAGCTGAAGGTGCCACATGGTGGTCTTGAATCATAGCCCTGGCTGATAGATTTTTTTTCTGATATGAAGAGAAAGTGAAAGAGGAGGAAGAGGAGTGGGTCTGTTGGTGATAACATGTCAATAATCATTACCAGGCAGGAACTGCTCACAGAAAAACCCAGGAGTGAACCAAGGACATGTCACTGGAGCTGAAGAGACCCTGCTATGACCTCTGAGACAGGTCTGTTGGCCTCATGAAGCTGAATTACGATGAATTGCAACAGGTGCAGGGGAGACAAGGCCATTAAAGAGCCTCTTTTATAAGATGAGACTATAAAAGCTTAGTGTGCTTTGCATAGCAAACAAATGGTAAGAGGGTAAGTGACAGCTGTCTTTCTATCCACTTCATCAGAGAGGCAAACACCAACAAACTGGAAGAGTTATTGAAGCTAAAGAGAAGTGTTAGCCAATGAACAATTACATATAACTTTGCCATTAACAATTTGAGGCAAGATAACAAATCAAGGTTTGGAATCACCCAAGATATTCCAGTGACTTTGCAGTATTAAAAGTGGAGACGTGAACAAGGTACACAGGAGCTTTGTATTTATGTTTGACAGAGCACATACTATTTCTCACCTCTTCCTCAGTTTTCACTTCCATTTCTGTGTCAAGTGACAGTGCCATGACCCACAGACAAATCTCCAGATGGAGAGCATGTGACATGAAAGTACGGTTTCTTTTAAATAGACTTTAGCAGACAGATTTGAGGTTGTACTTTATATCCTGGGTAGGAAGACCAAGGAATTTTTAGATACTGTAATTTCTGCCCTGAGCTCTCAGGCAGAGCAATTTTTCAGAGTCAGTGTGTGTTCTGAACTCCTTGACATTTAGATAACCTAAAAATGACTGTGGAAATAAAGAAGGAGCAATCTAAGAAAATGTTTTAACATCAGACACTTTAATTCAGACCTTTAAATCAAATACATAAGTTATTTCTGAGGAAAAAACAAATGTCTTTTGTATATATGCTTTCACTGAGCTCTTTTTCTCTAGGACTTGAGAGTCATCAAGAGGACCAAGTGAGACAGGAGGCTTTCATTTGGCTTCTTCTACTTTGATTTTTTCCTTATTCAAAACAGTGTTCTTACCCCTTTCCTCTGGATTTACTCCTTTCCCCAAGCCTGAATATCCTGTGTCCATCAATGCCTCTCTCCAGATTAACTACTCACTTCATTCTCAGAAAAGACCTGTGTAGAATTCCTTAAAAACACTGTTCTTCTCTGCCAGTAAAAAGAAAACCTTTAAAAGTCTTTGTTGGGCTCTTGATTATTGAATGTGGTCTGTACAAGAGAAGTGTTTTAAGAAAATGCACAGATGGCATAGAAGACAAGGTCAAGATTGAATTTGGTCTCAAGCAGAGGTAGTCTAAAAGGAAAAGGAAAGCAGCAAGGTAATCAGGAACACTGGGAGTAGTTCATGGTTACAAAGCAGACTAATGAGGGAGTTAGAAATGGGATTCCAGGATTCTTGATCATTCACCTCCTGCACAAAAATCTCTAGAACCTTGAATTCCAACAAATTTTGTTGTTCTTATATCTTGGTGAGATACAGAGAGTTATTTCAGGGCAGACCACAGGTCACAATTTGGCAGGTCCCCTCTCTGTGTTGTAACTAATAAATCTACTGGTGCTTTAGATAATGTTAAAGTCAGATTTATCAAAAATAAAAAAAAACCAACCAAAACAAAGTAAGACAGGCTTGGTCTCTAATTTTAAAGTGATTTAAAGGACAGTCATTGAGTTCAGAAATGAAGATCATTCAGGAAGTGAGATTAAAATTCACCAGATAGCGTCTGTCCATGAAAAAATAAACACACAAATTCAATACATAGATTCCTATAAAGTTTCTACTTAGTTAGCCATTATGGTGTTGCTGCAAGCATTACCCAGATGGCATATATGCTGAAATGTAAGTCTCCATGTAAGTGTGGATCAATATGCTCATGCGTGCTCTGGCACCGAGTAAGAATGATGTCATCACTTCATAAAAGCAAAGTGTGCATGTATGCTGTGAAAATCGCACAATTTGGTTGCTCCTGTTCACTTAGGTAAGGTGTAGTTTATACTAATTTACATTGAATTTAAAGTATAAGTCAGAAATGAAAAGGACTAGTCCAGTGTTAAACCGGTGATTAAGTTTACCAGGATAATTATCTAAAGCTTGTATAAACCATTTATTCTCAATCTTTGGTAGTAAGTGATGTGATAAAATTCTTAGTCCTAAGATCCAAACACACATAAGGAAGGTCTGGAACAGAAACCCACAGTCTTTATAAACTCAAACAGCAGTCCCACTTCCCAGTCTAAAATGCTCCAGCTCTTCTTGCTCTTCCTCTGACCATGTTCACTGTAGCATGTCTTTATGAGAAGATGTTTATGGTTCAAATGCCTTTAAATATTCTATTAAATGGTTTTGATGTAAGATGAATCTCAGCACTTTAAGATTACGGTCCAGATTCTGCACCTTACCTGCCTTTATAGAAGGGCTGAAATATATCAGAACTTAAATAGTTCTGCAGTATAGCTAATGAGAGGCAAAGTCCTAGGACAGAAAGTGCAGCATGAATCCCCTTTCCTTACATGTCATGGAGAAGTGCTCACAAAAGCTTCTTCTGTGTCAGCAAACGAAAAACTCCGAGGAACATGGTGGGAGGGAAGATCTGCAATTGTGAGGATACATCAGCCAAAGCCTTGATACTACTGATGGTGCTGAGGACAAAGATACGAAAATTACTTCCAGAAATAGATGAAGAGGTTGTGTTTGCTCATGTTTCATAACTCACTTCCAGAGGGAGGAGGAGGTTGCTATTTCTAGCAATCCTGACATAGCGATTCCTCCCAAATGACTTTATTTAGGCTTTGCTCAAGGGACCAGAAATTAGTGCAAGATCCTTGACTGATTAGCGGACTATCACCTCTATATATTGTTTCTATCCTTCATGATTACTCACTTCTCCTTTTGGATGCATAAAACAAAGGGTCATTAACACAAGAGCCTGTAATCTCATTTTGACCAAGTACAAGGATAATTCCTGTTCAAAGAGGCAAAGGCACATAGTTGGCCAGGAGATTTAGGCTGGGCAGTTATATTTACTTCTCGACATATGCTTGGACTTTACACTTCAGATAGATATTTTTCCACATAATACTAATCACCTTTAAAACTAGGGATTTGACAGTGGGGATGGAGAAATGTTTGAAGCTTATTCTGAGTTTAGGTACAGGACATAGACGAATATGCTTTAATGAAAGGCTGTTCCTTCAAATCAGATTGATACATTTATCAATCTAAGAATGACTGTATTTCTCTGTAGTGTAATTGTGTCATCAGTCCTGGATTTAGACATGTGTAATTCCAAAACTCATCAGATCAGAATGTCTAAATTTTGCTTTGATTATAAATATAAAGGTAAAATTATTCTTTCAGGTTATCTCTGTATCTCCCACAGATCTCAGCAACTATGATGCTTTCATCTCTACAAAAAATTCCACATACTGTCATTTTGCTGAGAAAATTATAAAATAGAGACAAAGCTCTAACACAAGCTAGCCACACAGAGGGTCAAGTTATAGAGTCAGTGAAAAGGCTTAATTTGTAACCATAGAAGTTAATGAGTAACAGCCACC